GTGTGTGTGTGTGTATGTGGTATGTAACATGTCTGGCACACATATGATGTATAAAGACCCTTGTCTTTTGGCTTATGTATAGGCTTGGTCACCTGCTTCCTTCCTCGCAGTGTGTCAGCCATCTAACACTCCGCAGTCGAGAGATACCGTCCTATTGGTGCTCTCTGTCACACTCCGAAGAATTATTCCTGGTTGGAGGGCTTGGAGTTCACGATTTGCGGATCAGGACAGCCCAAGGCGGGTTAAGCCAATGCGTGTGGGTTTTCCTGCTATAAGCTTTATAATGACAGCAAGCTCTTGTCGAGGTACGGTTCCCATGATACGACTGGCCATTCGATGCAACTCTCAGAACTCGAAGGCATGCAACAGGCCTGACGCGTTTTCAGCCATCGAGAGATGCAGTGGAAGTGAAACCTGTGCATACTTCTGCATGGGGCTTGGGGTTGGCATGGGCTTGGGGCTGGAAAGTCCAGCACTTGAGAGAAATTATGGCTTTTGCCGGGATGCGCGTGATTGCACACACCCCAGGCAACAGTGCATTCCTGCACAATGCAAAAGGGGGTTTCGCAAAATACTGATCCAAAGGCACACCGCCATCACCAAGCTTCTGTCCTCAGACGTGTGCGAGCCTTGATTCGCCTGACACTGAACTGCATTCCACGGTGGTAGCTGGTCAACCTCACATCTCTGCTTCTCAAAGCATCTCTATTCCCAGCCTGGCACTCGATACAAAGGTCCATGATGTGATTTCCTCAGATTGACACAGACGTCTCAAAAATCTACTCGACGGAGCCACTACTGGACCTGTTCTGTCTGTGCTGTTGTGGGCTCATGTGCAGAAGAGCTGCGGCAAATGGCACAGTTGTCCACCACAATGTCCCAAGCCCACAGAGCCACCTGCGCTTCTGCTGCGCGCAAGACAAGCGCAACGCAGCAGCGACTACTGGAAACACGGGGACACGACAGAACAAGCAGTACGTTTTGGTGTGCTCCTCACGGCTGATGTGCTCTCATTCCATCGTCGAGTCAAACAGCGTTCCTTGATCCGCCAATGGTTTCCTTAGTTTCCTTCGCATCTACCCCAGGCTCGCGGCTTTGGCAGCTCTGGTGCATCACGACGCATTCTACCACGTAAGACTTCAGCGACACCTCTGATTTCGTCTCCTACATCGTCAGTGGCGCCGGCGCTTTCGCCGTCAGCTTGTGCTGCCCCGAACGAGCAAGCACGGTCGCTCGGCAGAAATGCTCGCAGCGTAGCTGTTGTCCGTGACCTGCCAAGATGGAGATGGAGAAAGTGGCCTTGCTGCGTTGCACAATGCTGGAGACAGCACCGGAAAGGCTGCGACCCTGACGATGGTCTGCAGCTGCTAGCTGTGAGCAAGTGACCAGCACGGGCGGACAGTTGTCACGGCCTGCCGTCAGGGAGGCTTGTAGAAACTGGTGGTACTGTATGTCCAAACACCTCTTCTTGGCAATCGGATTGTAAGCCATGAAGGTTGCAATCTGCTTCAAAAGCTCCTGCAGGCAGCCAGGAAAAGTCCACAAGTCATGAAAGACTTTCGCCATTATTGCCAAGTCCTGATCTCCGGATGCCTGAGCTCGCGAGTTAATGTGCAGGACGTCTTGCATGCTGCCAAGCCTTTCAGGTCGTCGAAAGAAACGAGCGAGCGGGATGACTTCGGGGCGAGACTGCGCATTATCTTTAAACATTGCTGTGAGTCTCAAGCCCTTGTAGATCCTTGCTGTTTCTGCATGCAACAAAACTTGAAGACCAGTTAGTACCTGGAAAGCACTTTGCTGCAGCGTCTTGTGATGGCTGCCACACCAAGGGAATCGGCTTCATCGTGTAACGAAACTTTCATGGAGCAACTACGTGGTCGAACAGAGCGAACCCCCCGCCTTTGCGCAATCTGGAATGCATGGGTCAAGTTGCCAATCAGAATAAGTGCATCCATTTTGCACCTTCGAGACGATTCATCTCGAGCAAGGGCCACAAAGAGCTGACACCGATTTTGCCTTTCGTCTTGGATGTACGGCACCAGCTGCGAGGCGGCCGAGCGATCGGCTTTCAGCTCTTCCTGACACCACTGGGACTGGACTGTCTTCAAGACGGCTTTCGCCAGTCCTTTTCGATAATCCAGATGTTCACCACATTGGATACCAAGCTGTCCTGTCAGAGCAACACATGGCGTTTGTCTGGCGGTCATGCTTTTGAACGGTTCTATGTCGTTTTGATGCGTTGTACCTGACCACCGTCCCCTTTTCAGTCTTGCCGCGATGTTTCTGCTGAACTCAAATCATAATGTGCACTCGGGCGTTCGGAAGCTTCAGGAACCGCCGAGAAGGTCACCGAAAAAACAAACTCGTCGAAGGGCGCTGTCGGTAGGAAATTGCAAATGCCCTGCCGAAGTGCTGCGAAGTGATCTGTTCGATTTGCGACCAATCTCTCGTGGACATGCACTCACACATGCACGCGGCACGCGGGCGCGCACGCACGCACGCACGCACG